TTAGGTAGAACAGAGAGTCGATATTCTCAGACCACAAGAAACACCAACATTAATAAACATCTACCTGCAGGATTAGTCAGGAGAACAGATCTAGTAAGCAGACAGAAGGGGCATTGTGGAGAGATGAGAGAGAGTGGCTTTGTGGCTGGGGGGCTTCGGTGAGGTGGGCACCTGGCCAGAGAGTACAAAGGGATGCACAACAGGGTCTGGGGGCTAGAACCCAGGGGACAGGCAGGATGTTCCCAGGCGAGGGTTTTGGTCACCGAGCATCAGCTGAGTGACCACAGCTGCTGAGTGATCAGCAACATTTGCCCACACCCACAGCAGGCAATCAGTTGCTCAGTGGGCCCCACAACTGAAAAAAAACCATTTTCCTGTGTTGATTTATATGAAAACTCAATGTTCTTTTGCTTGTTTCCCCACATGCACGTGTGACTGATGGCCAGGAAAAACCAAATGAATTAACTTTTAAGGGCAACCTCAGCCCCTGGGTCATCTTCGCTAAAGAAAGACAAGTGGGTGGGTGAAAAGACAAATTAAAAAGCTTCTGCTGTCAACAAGTTACATCGGTTTCGATCAAATACCAAGGAAACTAATTTAATTTTGTGCTGTTTCCATCCTAAAGCTCTTTCACTCAGTAGGTTATTGCTGCTATAAAACTGATGTTATTAATAGCTTCTTCAATCAATAAAGAAAATGGAGGCTTAAAGGTGGTAGAATTCTTATGTTTGACTTAGACTTTTCCAACTAAAATAACCTTAATTTTTATACTTGTCTTCAATTATCATACAGCTATCTTTTAAAATTCGTATTTGAAAAAAATGTATCTGAGAAGGATAGTTTTATAGATGAGAGGGAAAAATCACTTACATATTTCAAGATAACAAATAAATAGTTTGATGTGCTGAACTCTGAAACATTAAATTCTCTGGACCTGCCCTTATTTTTCTACTTTATTCCTAAAGTCTTTGAAGAAGATAATTAAATGTACACATATTACTTTCCTCATGCTTATATTAACATTTTATTACATAAATAATTTAGTAATTTGTCCCCATTGTTCAAAATTGAGAAACACAGAATATTAGAATGAAGACTATCCTAAAACTATTGATTTTCAATCAATATTTATGAAGTTTCTATTATGACAGTCCTCTCAGTGCTAGAGATACAGCAGTGAACAAAACAGAGAAAAATTCATGCCTTCTTATAACTTTTATTCCAGTGAAAACAGACAGACCAAAAAAAAGTAATATGTGTAATAAAAGTAATATATGGGGGTGTGGGGGGAGCCAGGAGAGAGGGTTGGGAATGCATGGTGAGCATGGGGAAAGTACAGTATTTGAAAATAGGGCCATGGAGGAAACCTTACTTAAAAACTATTTGAGCAAAGAATTGAAGGAGTGGAGAGAAAGAGCCAGGTGTAAGCCTGGAGCAAGAACATTCTCTGTAGAGCAAAGAGCAAGTACAAAGGCCCTGAGGTAAAGTTTTTACTGAGGTGAATTGGGAAGCATTAGAGGGTTTTAAACAGAGAAGAGATTTAACGAGTTAACTTTTTAAAGGATCACTTTGGCTGCTCTGTACAAACAGATTTAACAGGGGCAGAATGAGAGCAGGGAGACCAATTTTATGGCTCTTGACTGGTGGAACCAACAAGGTATCCTGAAAATCAGTGGAGCTGAGGTCAATGACAGATCTTTTTCACCATTGTTTCATGGTCTTTAGTAATGTTCTAGTTTATATTTAGGTGACAACTTTTAATTCTAGGGCATTTATGCTTGGTTCATTTTTCAGTCAACCGAAATAATAATTTTTTCCCATGATGGTTATATGGTATATTTTCTGAGTTCTTCCATCACTGAGAATATTTCTTAATTATAAAGACACTACAAAGCCAATTTGGTTGGAAATACAGTTTTTAATCACTGTCCTACTACTTAGTTCTACAGATAACATTCTATTGACTTTTTGGCAAAGGATAAATTTGTTCGTGTTTGTGCTATTTTTTGGCTTGAGTGTACACAGAATTTTCTTTACTTAGAAATATAAAACAAATTGCCAGTATACTTCTAAATTTGGTCTTTTGAATTTTGAGTGGAATTAAAATTAAAGTTGAATGAAATTCAGATATTTCTGTCAATCTACATATATTTACATACAAAAATTTCATCACAGGACTTCTATTTCTTTTTTGATTATTGTCTTTTCTGTAAATAATCTGACATATTACTTGGACCTATGGTCTGACATTGTCACAATTAAGCCTCATTTTATTTTCTATTCTGTTAGTTCTACTATTTATGGACAACCTCACAGACTTTGCTCTCTATGGAACAATGAATGTTTTGTAGTATCAGATTTACCCTCTGGTCATGCTATTGAAGTTTACAATCCCACTGTTATATTTATAGTTTCTTTGTAATACGTTTGGGGGCAGACTTTAATGAATCTATGAGTTGTAAGTTTGGACCCTGAAAATCTTGGACAAAGATTGCCCTCCTTCACTTTATCCATCTCCACATACAAAGCTTTCAAGTCCCCAAGGCAAAAGAAAATAGAAAAAAAAAACCCTCAGTTATGCCATCAGTAGTGGTCGAGGCCCACATCTACCAACAAGATCCATTAATCTCGTTAAGATTTAACTGCCACACCTCACTCCTCACCACCCGCTGCCCAGACAGCAGGAGAGGAGCAAAGGAGACCTGTGTGGAAGGGCATTTGGCTGGGGAGCCATTTCAAGCCCTGCTCACTATCATTTCTCTAAGATCTGCAGAGTGATTTTACACTGCTTTGAGAAACTGGCCAAAGAACACCTGGGAAAGCATCTCACTCTCTCTCAGTTTTCTCTGCCCAATGTTTTTTTTTATTAAAGAGAGATCTGTAAACATAGATATTTCCCCCAATTAAAAATTAGTGGTAAAAATGTCTGCATAGAGATATAGCTCAGAGCTGACTCAACTATTTGATGAGCTGATTTCAGAAATAGCATTTTATTTATTTATATGAGACTGTAGATTTCACACTTCGTGAAAAGAGATAATGACTAGCAATATGATTCAGTCCAGGAAAATGTTTCTACCATGACATAGCCCTGCATCTCGCCTGCCTCCTAGTGATCTAATGCTGCATTCATTCCTTTCATGTTTTTAATGGCTTTCTGGTCCTGTTTCAAGAAGGCCATGTATTTTCTAATCCAATAGAAGATGCCACATATTTCCCTAAAATTTTCTATGTACATTTCTTCTTTTGATTCTCTTCCCCTTGTATCATTTGCTATGTTTTTGTTTTACTCACGCTCAAATAGCAGCAAATAGATGGAGCCTGAGAATCTGCCAATGGAGTGTTTTTTGCAGACTGCCAGTGCATTGTCTTGGGTGCTCTTCTGTCTACTTGGCTAGTCAGTTCCCTGCTCATTCCACGGCTGGAAGGCAGATAAATGGTCTAGTTGCTAGCTCAGTATCCAGTATTCTTTCATTTGTCTTACCTTTTCTGGCCTAAAATAAGATGATCTTCTACCTCCACTGTCTGAACAGATGGGATGCACAAAATACCGCATTTACCAGTATTTTCCACTACCAGATTGCTTCCATCTCTGCCCCTATGCACCACTCTACTTTGGGGGACTATGCATTCCAGTCTGTAATGTCTCACTACATGTCTCATATGTAATCTTACATCTTGCCATTTTTCCACTTACCACCATCACCGAATGCATGTGGACAGAGGTACATGTGAGAGAAGCCACATGTGAGATTTTGATTTGCTCAAAAGCAATCTCCATGAACTAGAGGAACTTAAGCTTTTTCCCCCCTACACTTTTAAGTGCCCTTTAAAGATGTATGGCCCTCATTTGCTGTTGCTGCTGACACTGCTATACACCTGGGCACCTATTTTTGCACAGGCTTTTTGACATAGCTATCATTTTGATACACTCTCAAAAGTGGAAGAATCATACCGCAGTTCTCTCTTTAATTTTGGGGGGGGGAACCTCCATAGTGTTTTCCACAGCGGCTGAATTAATTTGCAATCCTACCAACAGTGATTCTCTGGGATTCTCCTTTTTCTATATCTTCCCAGCACTTGTTATCTCTTGTGTTTTTGATGCTAGCCATTCTACAGGTGTGAGGTGAGATCTCATTGTCGTTTGGATTTGGGTTTCTCCCATAATTAGTTATGTTGAGTAAGCATCTTTTCACAAACCTGTTTTTGAATACCTTCTTTGGAAAAATGTCTATTCAGGTTCTTTGCATTTTTAATCGGATTCTCTCTCCCCCCCCCATCTCCATCCTCTCTCTCTCTCTCTTTTCTTTCCTGACAACTTTGCCATGACTACATCCTAATCAGTTACCTGACTTTGGGTGGTACTATGAACTTTCATCTTTTTTAGTGACTACCTAGTTACCCAAAACAGCTGGCTCCCCTTGGTGGCTTTCACCACTCTATAAAGGAGTTAACGGGCATCACGATCAGGTTTTTACTGTCCTTTTTCAGGTTAATTCCCAGATATGTTGCCAACTTTCACTTCTGCCCAAGGGAACATTGTGCTTTATTTTAGATGTCTTCTTGGTCAGAATTATTTTGCTTATAGACAGCTGAATCTTTGATGTTATGATTTCATTTGCCTCTGGCAGAAATTAAGTACCTTTTTACAAAGTTTTCTTTCCAGAAACACTTGTTTTGTGTGGGAACATCCTCCACAGTGATTCTTTTCTCTTTCCAGAATTTTCTACTAGATTTATATCACATCAGTTAGTGTACTCTCTTCTGTAATATGTTGAGACTGTCTAACTGGGATGAAGTCACTAATCTTTTTCATTCCTAGTTTCTTTAAGCCAACGATTCTTAAATTGTGGTGCCTGAACCAGTAGAATCAATACCACATGTGAATTTGTAAAACATGAAAATTATAACCCTTACCCAAAACCTACTGCATAAGACACTCCTTCTTTCCTCTAAAAATATTTTTAAAATTTATTTGTAGAGAGAAGGGAACAGAGGAAGAAGAGGAGAGAAACATCAATGTGCGATGGAAACATCTATCGTTTGCTTCTCGTACGCCCCCTACTGGTACCTAGCGCACAATTCAGGCATGTACCCTGACCCAAACAAACGGAGGACTATTCAGTCCACAGGCTGCTGCTCAGTGCACGGAGCCACACCAGCCAGAACCGGAGTAAGAAACTTTTGGGGGTGGGGTCAGGCAATCTGTGTTCCAGCTAGTGGTTCAGGTGATTCTCTGGCATGCTAACGTTTGTAAATGCCACCTCTCTCTGGGCATTACAGTTTTGTTGGAGGCAGGGAAAGGAAGTTTCAATTCAAAGGTAAACATTAAAACAATGATCCAGGGTTTTGATATGGTAGTCTTGTTTAAGAACCATGACTCCAAACTGCTTTCCTTTTGTCAGTTTTAAGAGTCTATCCCATATTACCAGCTGGCCTTGTTCTTGGTAACCATCTGTCAATTTGCTGTGTCATTAGCATTTCCAAAGTGTATTTTACATTGGCTAGGTTTTCATCTCCCAGGGAAATAGAGATAATGATGAAATTTGATTACAGGAGATATTTTTGCATATGGTTTTCTCTCCTCTGTAAAACCTGGGATGTTGGCCATCAGGGGTATCACAATCCAATTTACATCTGATTGACACCTGCTTTCCATCACTACATACCCTAATGTTACAGCATTTGTGAGAACTAGTTTATGTTTGCTTTATAATGAAGAGAAGTTAATGTCTTCAATCTCTTAATCTTCAATAATGTTTAGTGGTCAAGGTAAGTCTTTCAAATAAGAAGGCTTAACAAGTATTCTATTTTTTTCCCTTGAGCTTATTGTGGCGACATTGGTTAATACAATTATGTAGTTTCAGGTGCATTATTCTATGATACATCATCTGTATATTATATTATGGGCTCATCACTTTAAGTCAAGTCTCCTTCCATTACCACTTATCCCCCATTTATCTTCTTCTACTTTCCCCCACCTTCCTTTTCCTCTGGTTATCAGCATATTCTTGTCTGTCTTTGAGGGTTTTTTTCTTAATCCCTTTGCCTTTTCACACAGCCCCCTAACCCCCCTCCCCTCTGATAGCCATTAGTCTGTTCTCTGTATGTATGAGTCCCAACAAGAATTCCTAACTAGAAATTTCAATTTTGATAACATGAACCTTTTTTTGTAGGCTGATGGAGAACAACCTGTTCAGCCAGTTGGTTTTATGTGGATTACACAAAATATACAATTGTAACCCAGCAATTTACAACACAAAGCCAGAAAACCTGGACCAGTAGATAAGAAAAGACAGCCCGCCCTGGCTGGTGTGGCTCAGTGGACTGAGTGCCAGCCTGTGAACCAAAAGGTCACTGGTTTGATTCCCAGTCAGAGCACATGCCTGGGTTGCAGGCCAGGTCCCTGGTAGGGGCCCATGAGAGGCAGCCACACATTGGGTCTCCGTCCCTCTCTTTCTCCCTCCCTCCCCTGTCTAAAAATAGATAAATAAAATCTTAAAAAAAAAAGAAAAGAAAAGAAAAGAAAAGACAGCCCTTAGCCCAAGCTGGTTGCTCTGCACGTGTGCTTCCTATATCTTTTTCCCCTTCCCAGTTTTCTTTTTCTTACTGATTTTCTACCATTGGCAACATAATGTCTTAAACAAGAAAATAAAAATAGTTGCTCCCAAATATACTGCTTTTTATATAACTGAAAAAACAATCTGTGTAAAAATTTAAAATTGGCAGTGCTTAAATCCACAAAGACTATGAATATGTTACTATACACAATTCTGCAAACTGCAAAAAGTGCTAACAGGAACTTTCTGTTAAGGCAATTAAATTTGGCACTAATGGTGATCGTTGGGTAACTATCTTGTTTCTTCTATGAAAGTTATATTTTAACTTTTAAATAACTTAGGGCCAAAAATTCCATTTGCTAAAGGATGTCTGCCTTTCAGGTTGAAGGAAAATAATAACAGATTGAAATTCAGATCTAAATGAAGGAATAAAGAGAATCACAAACATTAAATAAATGAGTAAATATTAAAAAATGTCCTTTCTTTTTATAATGTACATGAACATATTGACTGTCTAAAGCAAAATATAACATCATAAAAGAATGTTTATAACACACATAGAAATAAAGATGATGGCAATTGCCCCAAAATTGAGGGGGTGGGTAAATGGAAATATACTCATAATATACAAGCTTATTAAACTTGTGAGGAGAGAGGTATAAAGTATGTGATAGGCTGACTGATAGCCTCCCAATCATATTCACATCCTAATCCACAAAGACTGTGAATATGTTACTTTACATGGTAAAAGGGACTTTGTAAATATGTTTAAGTTAAGGATCTTGTGATGGGGAAACTATTTTAGATTATTTGGCTGGGCTCAATATAATCACAAACATCCTTATAAGAGAGACAGGAGGATCTGAAGCAGGAAGAGAAGAATAAGGGTGGAAGCAGAAGTCAGAGAGGAGAGATGCTACGTTGCTGGCTTTCAAGATGGAAGAAGGGGCCACAAAACTATAGAATGCACTTGGCCTCTAGAAGCTGGAAAAGCAAGAAAAAGTCTTCCCTGGAGCCTCCTGAAGGAATGCAAGGCTGTCAGGCCTTTGACTTTAGCCAGTGAAACTGACTTCAAGCTTCTGATTCCCAGAACCGTAAGACACAAACTTTGTGTTGTTTTAAACCTCAGAGTTTGTAGTATTTTGTTACAGAATCAATCAGAAACGAACACAAATGTGAAGTGGGAATCATGAATATTCCCAAGCTCCTCTAACTTTGTGAGGAGCCTCTAAACCCTATTTCTTGGACATCATATCATGAGAGAAGGGAAAGGTGAATTGGGAACTCTGACGTATCGGGTGTGAAGTGAGATTATTGATTCTAGTCTGTGACAAAATAAAAGTGCCAAGTGTCAGCCCTAGAGCAAACACTAAGATAATTAAATTAGATATAGCTAAGAATCCAATATAAGAAATAATATAAATAAATAAAACATATTTGGTTACTCAAAAAAAGCTGAGAAAGATGAGAAAAGAATAACAAAAAAGAAGAATCAAAACGTAGTAGTAAGGTGGTAGACTTAAACTCAATGATATTAATGATTTCACTAAATGAAAATCACCCAGTAACAAAACATCAAAATTAATGATGTATAAGTAAATCAACTAAATAAATTTACAGTTGCAATATGATATTTTAACAATCCCCTCAGTAATTCATAAGCCATAAATTCAAAAAAGCATTAAGTACATACAAGATTTGGAAAATACAACAATGTCCTCGACCTAACTGATATTTATAGAGCATTACACATAATTTCAAATTACATATTCTTTTAAAGTACACATGGAATATGTAGACTACATGACAGTACATGCAAGTCTTAATAAATAGTAAAATATTGAAATAAAACAGAGCAGGTTTTCTCATAAATACAGAATTAAATTAGAAATCAATAACAATGAGATATCTGGATAATTCCATAACATATAAAATTTTAAACATCATACTTCTAAACAATCTGCAGGGTAAAAAATAATAATGTGGAAGTTTAGAAGATATTTTAAACTGAACTATCATTAGAACAAAGCATATCAAAATTTGTGAATGCTGTTATAGCAGTATTTAAAGGAAAATATGCACCTCAAAATGCTATACAAGAAAAAACAAAAATGGAAAATAAATGAGCTATTTTTCCAGCTTAAGAATTTAGAATATGATGAGCAAATCAAATCCTAAGTAAATAGAAGAAAAAGCTAGTAATAACAAGAGTGGAAAACAATGAAATAAAAAATAAAGAAGTAATTGAAAATAAATAAACATATGACTTTATATAGTACACCATTTATATTTTCTAATACATATTTATGCAAAGTTTTACATGTTTACATAGAGCACATTACAATTCTAATAGAATCCATCACAATTTTAATGGCTCCCCTATTTTATTTATTAATTTTCCATAAAATCTCATTTCTTTCGCAGACAATTTACATGTCACCAAACCAACAAGAATGAACTCAGTAGGCACCAAAATACAGCTTAAGGTGTGTTCAGATTTAATAAAATTTTTGTTCACACTTAACAATGATACTTCTTCTTTTACTTTTAAGTTATTTCTATGGATGTGTTTTTTAAGTTCTGGTTCCCAAGTTATGTAAGTAAGTGTCAGCTGCAGAGCTGATTCAAAATGCATGTACTAGCCACAGAAATATTGAGAACGAAGAACAAAGCTGGAGATATCACACTCCCTGATTTCAAAATGTACTCCAAAGCTATAGTAATTAAAGTGATATGGCACTGGCACAAAAATAGGCACAAAGATCAATGGCACAGAATAGAGAGCCCAGAAATAAACCCACAATTATATGGTCAATTAATCCATGAGAAAGGAGGAAGAATATACAATGGGGAAAAGACAATCTGTTCAATAAATAGTGTTGGGAAAACTGAACAGCTACATACAAAAGAATAAAACTAGACCACTTTCTTACACCAAAATAAGCTCAAAATTGATTAAAGACTTAATGGTAAGACCTGAAATGATAAAAATTTCTGGAAGAAAACATAGGTGGTCAACTCTTCGACATCGGTTTTCACAATATTGTTTGGATATGTCTTCTGAGGTGAGGGCAATGAAAGCAAAATAAACAAATGAAACTACATCAAACTAAAAGCTTTTGCATGACAAAGGAAACAAGAAAACGAAGAGTCAACTTACTGAGGGGAGAAAATATTTGTGAATGATGTAACTGATAAGGGGTCAATATCCAAGCGGTATAAAGAACTCCTACAACTCAATCTCAAACAAAACAAAACACTTTAATTTTTAAAAAATGAGCAGAGAACATGAATAGACATTTTTCCAAAAAACACATACAGACACCCAACAGACACATAAAAAGATGTTCAACATCACTGATTATCAGGGATATGCAAATAAAATATGAGATACAATCCCACGCTATTATAAAAAAGACAACATAATAACAAATGTTGGCAAGAAGATGAGTTAAAAAAATTCCTTGTGCACCATTGATGGGAATGAAATTAGTGCAGGTACTATGGAAAAGATTATGGGGTTTCTTCAAAAAATTAAAAATAGAACCACCGGCCCTGGCTGGTGTAGCTCAGTGGATTAAGCACAGGCCTGCGCACCAGACAATCGCGGTTTGATTCCCAGTCAGGGCACATGCCTGGGTTGCAGACCAATTCCCTGCAGGCCAGTTCCCAGCAGGGGACGCACGAAAGGCAACCATACATTGATGTTTCTCTCCCTCTCTCCTTCCCCTCCCCTCTAAAGATAAATAAAATATTAAAAAAAAAATAGAACCACCGTGTAAACAAGCAATTCCATTTCTGGTATTTATGTGTAGAAAATGAAGAAACACTAATTTGAAAACATATATGTACCCCTATGATCATTGCAGCATTATAAGCAATAGCAAGGATATATAAGTATAGATTAATAAAGAATATTCTTAATAAATAATAAAGAATAATCCATAACATATTATGGAATATATATATACATATATATTCCACAAAAAGAATTAAATCTTGCCATTTATGACAACATGGACAGATTTAGAGTATTGCATTAGGTATAAAATAAGTCAGAGAAGATCAAATAGCACATAATTTTACTTATCTGTGGAGACCTAAAACAAAAATGACGAAAAATCACCAGACAGGAAAAGACTCGGAGATGCAGAGAACAGACTGGTGGTTGCTAGAGGGGAGGGGCCTGTGGAGTCGGGGGAAATAGGTGAAGAGGCTTAGGAGGCACAAACTTCCAGTTACAACATAAATACGTCGTGGGAATGCAGCATGCAGCATAGGGAGTCTAGTCAATATTTTGATAACTTGTATGGTGACAGATGGTAACTAGACTTATTTTGGTAGTATATTTCATAATATATAAGACATTGAATCTCAAACAAGTATAGTATTTATGTCAACTATAATTAAAAAAATTTTTAAATGCACGTACTAGATCCTGATGCATATTCTAGATCTTAACCCAGATCTACCAAAGATTCTATGGCTGTTTCTTTTCTCGAATAATCACATTAAAAAACCCTCTTTTAGTGATTCCAATTTACAATAAGCTATGAAAACTCCCTTTCCAGACTCAGGGTTCTTGGTCCTCTTTGCTCAGTAGAATCATCCGGGGAGCTTTAAAATATGGACTGACTTTCGTCAACACCATTCACTAACTATCTTGCACTGAGTCAGGGCTGACCTATTAATATAGGTCACAGTGCATTTGGTATAATTGTATGGCTACAAGGAATTTCAGGTCCATCCATGATAATTCACTTCTTTTTCTGGTAATACTTGTTATTTCCTCCTCCTCAGAAACAATATCCACACTCCTTCATTTAAGATAAAGGTTAAAATGTAAGTATCCCCATGAAGAAAACAGTTTTGCTTCCCATGGGTGATACTGTTAAGTACTTAATGGAAAGAGGGAAGAATCACACAAGTGGACTAGGATGTGGTGGGGGATGGGCACCTGGGGGGCCGCTGGGGTATCAACACAGAATTTCTCCCTTCATAGTTTGTCGTAAGCTGGTCTGATCTACAAGGCAGAAAATATATTGAATCACTATTGTTGTTACAGAAAAGGGAGAAGGCACAGTGTCTAACTTCCAGGAGTTTATGATTTAGTACAAATGGGGCATTTGGGAGTTATGGGATTTACAGAAGGAATGTGGACTCTATGATGGGTCAGAGTTGTTTTTCTGAATATCTGATGTAGATGTCTCTGTAGTCCACAGAGCGTCGTCCAGAATGCTCCAGAATGCCTCTGCATTCAGTAAGTGTACACCAAGTCACCCCAATTCTAGGAAAGTAAAGATTAAAATACAACAAAATTCACTAGATAATGTGTAATTAACTGGACAAAACTGAGAAAAGCTTGTTCCGCATTTAGTGTTGGACTACATGCAAAGCTCTCTATTCTACTAATCAAACTACTTTTTTCTTGTTCCTATTTTGAGCAAGCCTTAAAGCCATATAGGAGAGTTTAGTTTAAGAGTTGAAAATTGAAATTATAGACTAAACAGATTAATTGGTTAAAAACCAATGTAGCTCACTGCCGTGCCCTTAGACAGTGGCCTCCAACGTGACAGATGTGGTAAAATTGTTAGAACTTTTATTTATAAGTATGTTCATCTCAAAAAGAAAGTCTGCATTAGTATAGTAATATCAAATTGACAGTAATGAGTAGATGATGTGGATAATGTATGAATCATATTTATACATTGGAGGTGCCTGTTTAAAGAGTTGTTACTGATGAGGCACACAAACAAATAGTTTAATGATTTGAGTAATTTTGAAAAATTGTGAGTTTTACTTGGGAGGACTATTTTATATATTGCTGCCTTTCTCTGGTGATGACGAAGACCTAGGCTGAATGGTGTTAGTCTACAAGAGCCATTTTCATGTGCTCCCTTTTTCCTCCCTGGAAAATAACTGAGTTTTTCTTTGCCTTTCAGCCATAGCCATTTGTGTGGGCCTCTGTGTTTCATCCGTGGTCTGAAGCTTCTCTTTATTGACAATGAATTTCTACTCATTAAGAAGAATCTCAGTATGTCATGCGTGAAAGGCACCTCAGAGATTTGTTCACCCTCCTCATTTTGAAGATAAAAAACAAAAGGCAAAGGTGGTAAAAAATATTTAAAGTCATTCAATTAAGTTAAGAAAAGGGCTCCTTAGTACCACAAAGAGCATTACCAGAAGATAAGGACTATTCGCAGTAAAGGGACATCTGCTTTCCATAAAACCTGACCAAATGAAACACGGGGGATGGTCACTGCTTAGTGTTTGTGATGAAGGTAAGTGCCATCTGGCTGTTAGGGCTGGAAGGATTCTATAAATATTTAGCTATTCAGTAAGAGGAAGAGGAAAGTACATTTGTTCTTTGTCTCTAGTGGAAAATAGAAACATCTTACACTGAGATTTTTATTTTACTCTGAAGTTTTCTGTATTATATTTGCTTATGGGTGTGATGAGAACTGTGTCTGTAGGCTGCTTCTTCAACACAGACAATATTTGCTACTGTCTCAGAATTTTTCTAGCATCTACATGCTTACATCAATACAAAGAAGTGTAAGACATCCTTGAGAACTCGAGACAGACTTGTATTAAATAGTAATTTGAGAACAATATGCTCAATTGCAATCTAATTTAGAAGGTATAATGATATGTAATATGGGTGTTCTTAGAAATCAATTTGCCTTTCAAATCCATGCCCACTTGAATTTGGAAATTAGAGAGAATGTGGTAGTGTTTCATTTCCCTGGCCTCTGACTCCTGTAGCTATTTAGCCAGGCCTTCTTAGAGCAAGGATGTAAGCAGACTTTGTTTTTCCCATTTAGGTTGCTTCCCCCCTGGGGCTAGGGGAAATGTCACACTGTACGTAGCTCTAAATTTCCTTCTGCGCTGTGGTTCATTTTATCCCACACTGCCAGGTATGCTGTGCAGTGTGATGGTTAAAGAATAAAAGGCTAAAGTAGTACAAGGAATCATGCCCTGCCCTCGACAACCTTTCTCCTGGGACCTGAAGTGAGAGAGCACTTTTACTGTGTGGAAGGATCAGGAACAGAAGTTCCAGGGCGTGGACAGCAGCTAATAAATCATGGCCACGGCATCATGGAAGTGGCACAGAGATGCAGGAGGAAATGTTTGGTTTCATAATATGCGGCAGAAAAAGCTGAAACTGAAGGGTCTGCTGCTCAAGTTTGAGGGAGACACTCGGGTTGTGTAAGGATATTCTGTAATATAGTTAATGAATTCCCTATTGCACAGCTAAATGTTTAATTTGTTTTCACAATTCTAATTACAGTGTTGTAATGAACTGCCTTATACATGCATACATACATGCATCATACATACACACAAATATAGATACACATTTTATTATTCTCTTAGAAAAATGTTCTCAGAAATAATCAGTTGAACCAGAGGGCATACACACTTGATATTCATATCTGTTGCAAATTGTTTTCAAGAAAGGAAACACAAATTCACAACGGAGATGGATAAGAATATCCAATTTGTGTATGTCAATTGCACCTTAGTTAAAAGAAAGAATATTCGGTTTATTTTTGCTGTACCCTAACCAGTCCCAGGCATCATATGAGAATAGTCTGATATACTTGCCTCTTATGGGCATGTAAACTCTATTTGCTCGGAACACAACGGACTCTACACTGTTCCCATGAGGTCCTACAGGATCCAGCTGCACCACCACCTCCCTCTCTCCTTTGGCTTGTGATGTTCAAATACCTCTCAGTTTCTCATATGCACAAGCTTGTTTTTAATCTTTCCTTTGTTTTTCCCTAACTCAAGCCATTTGTATGTACTTCCACACTTCCTTTTTCTCTTTATTTTTTATGCCTCAGTTTGAATGTTACCTCTTGTTACTACATGGTGTCAGTATTAAAAAAAAAAGCCCTTAACAAATATTAAGTTCAGCTAAATAGTTCACCATTCTTTTTCTCTGCATTACGGTTTTCAGAGCAAACATGTGTTTCTATTATACATATACTCAAGGACTGAGCTAAAGTTGAAAACAATCGGAGGCGGACAAGATCACTGCCTCAGAGAAGGAGACACTGGGAGGCCGCAGCTTCGACTCTGGATTTAGCATCATTTACTTCTGTGATTTACCTAAAACTTTTGATGAGGATTTTGGCCTTCAGGATCCCTTCTAGATCTAATATTCTAGAACTCATTTATTTTTTCGCATTCATTCCTTCATGTGTTTTTTTTATTCAAACCATGCCCAGGTACGGTGCTCATCATGAGGGATACCAGGCAGCATGAGGCCAATAGTCTGTGGCCTTTGTGGATTTATATCTTTGTGTACATCTTGTCATTAGGAGACATAAAAATAGATGAGTCAATTTTGAAATGATTTCTGTTGGTTTGTATGAGAATATATCACTTGGATGTGAAAGGCAAATACAGAATTAAAATGAGGGAGCACGGCTTTGTGGCCGCTCACTTTCCCTGAGAGAGAAGGGGGAGCAGAGCCCGGAGGAGGAGGCCTGATTCGAGTCTGCCCATTTTATAACATTCTCCTGCCTCTGCATCCTTAGTCTAGTGACTGTCCTCTGAGACTTTGAGGAGATTGCTAAACTGCGCTTTAGAAATTCATTTATTTTCTTTTATGAATTCTAAATAAATAAATGCATCATGGTGGATACATTTCTATCCAAAAGGCATAGACTCTGCAGCATCTATATCTTCCATTGTAATGCTTTACACAATTGCCCCAGTAAAAAAAGTGATTTTCTCATAAAATTGTCAAAAAATGAACAATATGAAAACACACAGCTCTAAACCCTGTCACGTGGCACAATTTCAAGGAACTGTTCCTCTAGAGAAATGAAAGAAATATTGAGCAGGAAAATTTCAGAATGGAAGACAAGTTTAATATATTCTGAACCAATAAACATAATGCTATTAAGTATCAGACAATTTTATTAGCTGACTTTTAACACATTTTCAGAGTTGAACTAACTCAATTTTACTACGGTGTTAGGAAAGGTTATAAAAAAGTTGAATCAGAGACAGACCCACAAGTAGAAATATTGCATGCAAAGTCTCAAATGAAATTGGTAACTGAGACTGAACACACACACAAAAAACTTAGAACACAGAATTTTGCTGCCAAAAGGGGTCTTAGAACATCTGATTCAATTCTTAGGAAAGCAGGCAAAAATGAAAAAAAAAACCAGAACAAAACAAAAGTTGTCTGCGAGAAAGTGGTTCTGCCCCGCCCCAGCCCTGCCCCCGCCACCACAATCTGCACTAGGAGAAACATGTAATTCTTGCTGGATGACGTTATGTCAGAAATAACAAAGATGATCCTGGTTAAATGAAAAACTGAAAGTAGAAGTTTATTCTTTATGTTGTATTTTACTCTATCAGAAAAAGATGAAATGCTTGAATGTGTGGGCAGAAAGAAAACATAATTCTATATTCAGAGGAAGACATGCAAATAATGCTTTCTACTCACAAAGGAAAGAATGCATGTTTTTTAATAGTATTAAGCAAAAAAAACACAAAACCCAGAGTATCTCTGAACAGTGGCCACTTTTTACCATTCAGTATGCATCCTCTCATGGTTGGTTGTTTATATGTGTATTCCACATAGTTGAACTCATACTGTATCAGTTGTTCTTAGTACTTGGGCTAGTGCAGGGTTTGTGGTCTCATGTAGTGTGACAGTTTATGAGAATGGATTGGAGGCCATGTAGCATGTCTAACAGGACAGCTGATTTAGGCTGGGGTCAGGTGACAAGGGCCTTGAAGTCCACGCTATTGGGATAAATGTTATGAGCTGTCCCTTAAGTTGAGAAGGTTGTATCCTCTATTCTGTTCTGTCCCTACACTGCATGTTAACTTGGGGACACATCCTCCCAGGCTGCCTGTGATATGTTTATTCATAGTATTAAGCCATGAAGACAGTGGGCTTGTGATATTCTTTGACTGCAGAGCCTGTTGAGGCAATAGCTCATTTATCTACAATGGCATGGAGTCCCTAACACTGGACCTGATGATGACCCAAATGACGTTCCAGTGCAGAACCTTTCTTTCTTACTCATCCTCCAGACTATGTCAAACTTGCACTTTTATTGTTTCCTTACTACAGGCACACTCAACATCCCATCAAAAAAATGCCCAGATTTTCAGCTAATTTCATTGCTCTAGCAAACTTTTTAGAATGGGTAATTTTTAAGCCCCCTTTCTGCAAGTCTGGTTACCCATTGAATAATCTAGTTACCTAATAAATAGTTCTATGTAGAGTAGAATAATAAACCACTAAAGAAATTAGACTTTGAAATGATAGAGCCATAATTCTGTTTTGATTTTGATAAAAGTCAAGTAGAAAATTTTAATTGGTTGGAATTACAAAGCAGTATAGTATGAACATGTCCTTAGCAATTTTCTTTTTTTGTCTTAATATTGTTTTTAAAAGATGCATTTTAAAATACAGATCTATGGTTTTATTTGAGATGTGTTATGGCTTAAACATTTCCTATGCTTCTAAATATATTCAAGTCAACAGACAAACCTTATTTTGCTTTCTATTATATTTGTACTGATATTTTTTTCAAGAAAACTCCCTAAACTCTACTGTAGCAGTTTTCATTATAATCTGCAGGGAGAATTGATCGTACCTATATAAGCACTCAAATGAGCAGTAGGAAGAGGCTATACACAAAAGTCAGCAGGATATAATGGGTTTACTTCACCCACCGAAGTTAATGCTACTTACAGGATGATGTTTTTCCTTACTCTGAGGATACATGGTATGTAATTGTTACTGATATTTCAAGAACTTGAGACTTTAAACATCCAACCACTTTCTTTGTAATCAAGCCTCAATTTCATTCTTAAGCTGAAGCCTAGTATATTATGTATAGTGTGTCATGTAGCACAGTAGTTCTTAATCGGATGTTCTGTGGTACAGATATGTTCCTTCGGTTTTTATTTTGATAGGATCAAATTGGTAACCAACAAATCAGTGTGAGAAATTTATTATTTGCACTATGTTTCAGGGGTCTGAATTGCTCCAAAGCTTCTCTCTTGGGTTTCTAAGCTATTTAATAGTAGAATAGTAATCATTTTACTATTAAATAGCTTTGGTTTGATTTGAGGAACCATTTTTAGCAACAGAAAGTATTTATTGCAGGGTGTCTGCCTACGAGAACCATCGAACTTTCACAGGTGTTGGGTCCACAGGATAAGAACAAGAATGACATTTCATAGTAATTTTTATGAATATTAATTTCATTGAGCAGTTCTTTTGGAAAGCCATTTCTCATTTCACTTTTAAATCCTGGTAAATGGAGACAAGTTATGCTCAAAAGACAGATAAAAGCACCAGGAAGCTTCAATCTAATTGAGAAACTACTTAAAACTCATATTTTACATTAAACTTAATTGCCAGCACTTATCAATGGGAAGAATTATGTTGTCAAGTTAGTTTTGATCATTACAGGTTGAATCTATAAGACCTGAGAATTTTTTTATTGTTTTCATTTGATGCCTCACATACTTTGGGTGTGCTTAAAAGAACTGGTTATCTTTTCTTTTAGGCACTCGAATGATGACATTTCCAGAGATATTTCATCCCACTGAAGAGGGGACACTGGGAATCCTGAGAGTGATGAGTGGTTTGAAGACTCTCATAAAGCAGGAGAGGAGATAAGGATCTGTGAGCCCAAAGAAGAGGATGCAAAAGAGTCAGGGACAAGGACAGCAGAGTGGGGGTTTCCTGGGGAGGGGGAGGGGGAGGAGGGAACAGGGAACATACGGTGACGGTAAGAGATTTGACTTGGGGTGGTGAGCACACTACAGTGTACAGTGCAGATGGTGTGTTGTGGAATCGTGCACCTGAATGAAACCTGTGTATTTTTGTTAACCAGTGTTGCCCTAATAAATTCAGTTAAAAAATAAAGTGAAATAACAATGCTGGACCAGGGATACAGAAAAAAAAACCAGTCAATAGGTTGAAATTATTCTCCTGTGAAAGAAAATGTTGCCTGTGGGAAGTGGCACTGCCATTTTGCAATCATTTTATTTAACATTTTATCACGAATTTTTAAATTACTTATAGCATATTTATAAAATATTTGAAAGCTGTAAAGAAAATACTGCATCAAACACCCTTGCATATCATTGTAATCTCTGTTCAACTTAAATGAAGGGAAACTGCTATCCCTTTTGAAGCAGTGGGGCCTCTTCTGGCTGAGGTGGTAAAATCTGTTAGATTCCGTGGGTGACATGGTAGATTGTTGAGCAAAAAAAAAAAAAAAAAAAGACCGCTTAGAGAGTTTTGGTCCCTGAGCAGAAGAAATAATTTCTGCATTATATGCTTATCTTTTTAAGTTGTCACTTATACTTTATGCCTGAATAAGAGGCTTTTCAGTTTTGCATGTTTTAGTCTTTTACAAATGGAATCATACTGTGTTAATCTTCTGTAACTTAATATTATGTTCTTAAGGTTTATTCATGTTGTTACCTGTAGCCATAATTTGTTCAGTTAATTGCAGTACAGTTTCATTGTGTGAGAATACACCACACCTTGCAATTATGGATCTCCATGTTTCTTTCTTACTAGACTGAAACCTTTTTGAAGGCAGACAAAATGTTTTGTTTATCTTTATCGAATCGGCATTGGCTTGGCCACAATTGTTGGGATTAAGAAAGTATTAAGTAAGTGCCTTTTTAATGGTAACTTTGTAAAAGGGCAGTAAAAAAATGTAAATAAAGTTTTCTTTTTTTGAGACCCCAAAATGTAATTTAGACATTTGTATCTGTAGTCTAATTACAGGGCAATCCTCAAAGCAAAAAATTTGGAGACATATCTTCTCAATATAAAATACACTTGCGACGTGGACACCGGCCCCCAGTGTCCACAGTGTTGTGGATGAGATAAAATAAATTCACACAGACTACTGAGTCCTGTGGAAAAAAGGGACGTCATGGCCACTCTCTCAAGAGGAGAGTGTTTGACCTTTGCCTTGACAGGCTTTTATTGGCTTTCTAATAGCATCCATTAAAGAAGGTTTTCATTCATTATCCTTAGGTTTGCTTTAGGTAATTACTTTTTACAGATAGCACCAGAAGAGATATTACTGACTACTTCTTAAAGATTAACAAGGAAAAAATGTTGCAAATGAAGGGAATGATAAGAGTAACAGGTCTGGTTACACTTCAATCCTTGGGAGAATTAGCAGACTTCCGGAAGTTACTGTAAAGATATGCAGCAAGGGCTTGCTGCCTGAACTCAGGGTGAGGGAGTTTTAGCAAGAGCAAGTCACAAAGCAGCCTAGGTATAATGCGGGTCTGATTTCCCACTGGAGAACTCTTCATGGGCATGGTCCTGCCTGCCAACTCGCTCCCCACTGGTTTTCCACCTGGGTGCTGAGCTACATTTCCACACCTTGCAAAGTGGTCTCCTACATATTTGTATTTTCTGGGCTGAAAGTCTTAATTCTGGGCCTGTAGTTTCTGATAGGCATGGAAGAATTAGATACGTTGTTTTTTCATTTGGATGAATACGTTCTTATATAGCAAATTTGAAAAAGAAGGTGTTTAGTCTTAAACTGTTTGTACTCTATTTTTCCAAGGAGATTAGCTAACACGATGTTGCCAATTCTAAGTATTAAATGTCTTAGCAACATGACATATAATTAGCTACTGTAAGAGCAGGTAATTTTTCAGGTTTGTTGTTTGCGTAAAGAAAATAAAAAACACCTTCTCGGGTGTACTTTTTGTTTGTTTGTTTTGGAGCTACTCTCCCTTATTCTTGGAAGAGGGATAGAAAAAGATTGAGTTGACTTTAAGGGTTTATGTGTTCACAAACACTCCCAAAACCCTCACCTTTATTACTATAGATTCTGTTCTATTACCCTCTTCCCAGGAAGTACTACATTTATAAAATATGTTATTAATCACAAAAATAAGAAACTATGTTTCATAACCTGTTTTCCTTTGAGCAATCCCTAGAGCTCACTTTCAGTTAGACCCCACTGAGTTGGAATTTGAGATTTAATATAATGCTTCCGAATATGCAAGCTATGGATTCTTGGGAAGCTGAAGCGTTGGTGCCAGAGTTGTAGAAGATTGAAGACTATATGTATATATAGTATATGAACGTTCAAATATAGGTAGGTGCAATCATATTTAATGACACAAAAATTAATTTTAAAGTTCTATTAAATGTATTCAAGCTATTTCCCATTTATTCTTTTGCATTAACTTCATTTTTTTGTGCTAAATGTGTGTGTGGTGTGTGCACATAATTTTTAAAACTCAGTGGGCTTATACTGAAAATAAGAGAGCCTCTCTGTTTCAGCCTTGTGACACCCTAATTCTGCATTTTCATTGGCAATTACTTCAGCTTTTTTTTGTTTGTTATTTCTCCTGGTATTTATCTTTTGATTTCTAAATAGTATGATATGCCACTGTTTTTTATTTTTCAGTTTTAGACATTACTCAGTGATTTCTCAGTAAGGAAGGTAAGGATTTAGCCCTTGTCCCCTTTCATCATCTGACAATTTTTTAAAGGTAAGATTTTATATTATTAGGACCAAATAAATATTAACTTTAGCTGAGCTGTATAATAATATGTATGATGTCATTGTTTTTCCATTTTTTTAACAATATATTTTGTTTTGCCATTTTGGGGGGGAATTAATAATTATGGTCATGGGGCATTTATTTAATTAACTCTGTACTTAACACTAACAATACATCTGCTATCCAAAACATTAGATAATCTTAAGTATCACATATCCATCATCTGTCAATTTGTTATCAGTTCCAATCTGCACTAGTTGTTCTTGAAAGCTGCTGTATTCCTGATGTCATAATGCCTGCCTTCTCCACCAACCCTGAAATCTTTTATATTGAATTTTGTTTCTTGGTGTCCAGAAGGTAAAAATTTGAGATTTTACTGTCTGAAGATGTTCATCATTGATTCTACACAACAATGATTGATAATTAAGTTAGGTAGAGAAGTTTAGTTTAGATCTCATTTTACTAAGAATATTTATAGGCATTGCTACATTTTCTTCAATTTCCATTTCATCCTACCTGATACCATTCTGATTCCCATTCCATTGTAGGTGCTGATTACATTCCATTGTCTTGTTTTTTTTTCCTCTCTGGAAGGTTTAAGGTTCTATATTTGTTCCTGGTGTTCTTTTCACATTGAGGTAACTTGATATGAGTTTTTTAAATTCATTGTTTGGGGTACTTCATGGAGCCTTTCAATAGATGTCTTTAGCAATTTCCCTGAGTAAATTATTATAAAACTTCATCTTTTTCATTTTGTCTTGTCACTTTTTCTGGACATCTTATTTATGGGAGGTTAGTGCTCATCAATAGATTCTCTAACTTCTCCATTTTCTTTTTTATTTCCAAACTTTTCTGGGAGATTTGGTCAATTTTATCTTTTAACTCTCCAATGAACTTTTAAATTTGGCTATCATATTTTTAAATTCTAAGAATTATGGACTTTTGCGTTATTTCATATATGTAATATCTTTGCTTATCTCTCAGAAAATGTTAGTTAATATTTCTTTCAAAATTTCTTCTATTCTCTGCATTGTCTCTGTTTCTCTCCTATCTTTTCCCCCTAAAAAATAGTGTTTTCATTTTATAAATAATAGTGTTTTGTTTTAATAAATTAGAAAATATATGAATGCAAATTGAGATTTCACAGCCTCCCTGGGTAATACTTTAGAAATAGAATTTGAATGTTATTATGTATATTTAGTTAGTGTAAAATTAAAAAAACTTACATGAACATAGTTGTATTTATGTTTTTATAAGTTGATAGAGTAAATAGAGTACCCATAGGTGGGAAGATACCTTTCAATAACTAGCTAAATAGCATCTCCACAATCACCATTTCTCCTACATAGTTCTGCTCCATTGATCGAATTATTTACCCTAATAGGGAAGACTAGAGAGCTTCCAAATCAGGACACTCTGATTTTAAGTTAATTTCTTAGCCTTGAGCTGACTTTAATAGCATGGTGGTCATAGAAAAATGCTTTACTCTGAACATTATTGAAGAAGAAAGGAAGACTTTAAAAAACAATTGGGAAAAATTCTAATGCTACAGAAGAAGTACAAGAATAACAATAGTGCAAAGAACACCCACGTATTATTTTCTCAGACTCACTCATTACTGACATTTTTCACTCTATTTACTTTTATCATTTGCTTCCTCTTTCTACACAATCTTTATAATATTTTAGCCATTTAATATTAAGATACATACATTATAGCCCTTTCATCTTAAGCTCTTCAGTGAATATTTCCTAACAAGAAGGCTTCTATATCCCCTGGGGAGTTTCCACAGTTATTGACAGTCCGGGCTCCCATTTCACCCCGGGACATTACTCAAGTGTGTGGTGCATTTATCACTCTCAGTAAATTTAACATTAATATATTAATTTTACCAAACTACCATACATATTCCAATACTATCAACTGATTCAGTAGTGACCAGTATGGCACCCTTTCCCCCTTCCAGATCTAATATCTGAACAGGAATTTTATTTAGTTCTCTCTCTTTATTTTTCTATAATTTTTTTCAGTTTCCTCTGGTTTTCAAGACAATGGCATTTAAAAATACTTAAATTTTCTAGTAGCCACAGTATAAAAAGCAAAATGGAACAGGTGAAATTTCTTTCAGTGGTATATTTTATTTAATTCAGTGGACCCCGAAAGCTAT